GTCCGAGAACACTTACTGTCTTGAAAGCGTTCCTTACCTGAGTGCTCAAACATGTGGCATGAGATGTTAAGTTGTAAACAACAAGTGGAGCACAACACAAGCACGGTCTTCGAACAATAATGTCCCCGAATCTTCTGTGACTACGCTTTTCTCCGCGCTGTATTCGGTTTGCGTGCTGTTGCAGCAGATTGCTACGTTCAGCGCCTGCCAGGCTTCATCCCGGAAGTGGCTCATGCTCCAGGCGGCTGTAATGCTGATACCGACACACTGTCGCGCTGGGGTGGCACATCCCACGCCTCCCGATTCAAAGGCCGTGTTTCGAAGGCCGTGTTTCTTTCGCTCTGTGGCACCCCCCAGTGTCTTGAATGGGCAAGTCGCTTTTGCTCACTGCATTTGCGCCGAGTCCTCGTAGTCATGATATCAGCAGTGCCAGCTGTTAGCCTGTTGGGCAGTACCGCCGGCGGTCTGTGGTTGCTTTGCTTCCCCCGTGGGTGAGGGCTGTTCCACATAACGGGCAAAAACAAAAATAATCCCGCAAGGTAGTACCGGTGGCGGTGCGCGGTCGCATTGCTTCCCCCGTCGGTGTGGGCTACCTTTTTCCTGCGGGATACATGCTGGCACGGCTCCTGCGCGATGAGCTTTCTTCTGAGTGCGGCGGCGCCGGCCTCCATGATACTGTTGATGCTTTTGCTTCTTTGTTTGTTGCGTACTGCTACGCTGGTCATTCGTGCAGAAGTAGGGAGGCTGGTGCCTACATAGCATCAGATTGCTTGCTTGAACGTTTAAACAAGCTCCGCTTCCTACGCTCTGGCTTCGCTTGTTCGAGGTAGTTCTGTCATCTTCATGCGCTTTTCCCGAGCCTTGTCTGCTGTGTTCTGTGTTGTGCACAAGCACACAGACACAGCGAGGTGACGGTAGCTCAGTCCACCAAACACGTTTCAGCTTTGGCCAGAGTGATTTCATAGCGTTCGGTCTCCTTCGTTCTCGTTTTTTTTTTTACTTGGCGACACTTGCTTTCGAATTCCGAATGCTGCTTTGACTTTGCTTGCACTCGTCATTCGACCACCACGTCAAAAGCAGGAGACCGCTAGGGTTTTGAACGTCGAGTGAAATTTAACTTCTAGTGTGCTGTAGTAAAGCGGCTGTAGCTTCGGTTGTGAACTCGAGCAGTGAGTGCGGCAATGCCTGTAAAGAGCCTTGTGGCCACATCTCTCGCATCTTGCCGCTCGACCAACTCAAAGCATCCTTTGCCTGTACTTATGACCTCGCCCGTGAGCATGTTGCAGTTATCAGGACCCAATCTTCTGCTACCGGGGATCTTAACATGCAACATGCATTTCCTGTGCATTCCTGCATTTACACATCTCAGCGATAACAGAGACACGATCATGAGAACGAAGCTGGATTGTAAGCTCGAAAATATTTGCGAGCATCTCTGCCCGTGCCATTTGCAGCCATGGCGTATGATGCTTCATGGTGGCTCGGCCACTACCAGAGACACTAGCCACTAGCTGCGGCCGTGAAGCAGCTAGGTTCTCCTCGGATGACACTGCCGCGAGGTGGAAACGAGCGCCTGGGGCGTCCTGGGCGCAGCAGGCTCCACCTTGCCCTTCTTGCAATGTCTCCTCTGATTTCATCAGCTGCTCTCGAAAATTTATTTGTGTCCCTGTAAAGTTGATTGGTGTCTCAAGCGGTGCGCCTGTCCAAACTGGTGGCGGAAGAGCCGCTCATCAAGGGAGGTTTTTTGTCTTCCTGTGAAGGCGAAGGTGAGCTACCGAAGCCACGTGGATGAACTCACCCGGCAGCTGCAGACGCTCGGATCTCAGCATCTTTGTCACTGACGTCCGGTCGGGAGGCGATGAGCTAAAAGCCGGCTGCGAGTTGAGTTGCGTTGCTCGAGGTCGGCGATCTGTGCAAAGTTCCACAAGGACATGGCCCGAACCCTCATGTTTCAGCTGGAGCTGTGCAGGGGTGAGCCGGGTCCTGAGGAGGCTTGTTTCGCGGGATGACTTGCCAGTGAACGGCCGAACCCAGGTTGGAGGAGGCCAAGAACAGCCTGAGACAGCATGGGCTTAAGCTTGGAGACAGCCAGGTGGACAAGTTGAACCCTGATGCATAATGGGTCTAAGGTATAGTCAGCCGAAGGTGGTGGACGGCAGCTGCCAGACAGACATGGAGGACTCGACTGTTGTTTCCTTGCCCAGCATTGGTACTGCATACTACACGTACATGGTCTTGTGAGCTGTGCAAGTCTTGTCACCTTTCTCCTGGCAGGACGCTGCAAAGATCGAGCGTGATAAGGTGCGGCGGGGGTAATTAATGTGTGATCCTGGTGAGTGCAGGTCTTTGTATTATGAAAAATGTCGAAAAGACTTGGAGGGTTTCGAAGCAAGGGCTGTGCTCAGATTTGTGGGTTGGGAAGAGAAGAGCAGAGCTTGGGTTTCCCAGTTTTTAAGGTCGACCAAACCCCTTGTTGGACTCCTGACCAATGAAATTGCATACTTGATTGCTCACCCCGCCCGGTTTTACGTAGCATCGGCGAACGGCACCCACTGTAACATCGTCAACCAGGCTGCGCTAGAGGCGAAGCTTACGTGATGAGCTTGCGTGCGTGACTGCGTTTGAAGATGTCGCCGAACATCAAAGGCTCAGGCAGAAGGCTTCACCCTGACGGTGTTGAAAGCTGGGGCTCATCGTTCTTAACTAGATGCTAGCTGCAGCACTCTGAGAGTTGTACCATGCCGGACTGTCGGCTATGGATTAGATTAAATTGCAGACCGGGCTATGTCAATCGTACTGTAGTTTCAGGCATGCGCGCTTCTTGCCGAGTTTCAGCATGTCCCAGTAAGCTCACGCCAAGCACTCAAGTAATCATTGGTACGATATCATGATTGAATCAAAACAGCCACTGGGGAACACAATGTGTCACAGCTGGCTCGGCCTTGCGCACTGAACGCAGACACATCATTGCGACATGGTTGAACAGGAGTGCGGAGGGAGTTGAGAGTGGGAAGCTTTCAAAGTGACCAGATCACTGGGCATTGCAAATTCACTGCATCACTGTTCTGGCTGAAAGGTTGGATATGGTCCAAAAGTGTCATATAAACCTTCATGATGGCAGCACAAGGATTAAACCCGTTCTCAGATTGTCTGCCAGAAAGTAGGACATGACAGAAGTAGCTAAGCTTCACACGCAACTAAGAACACACTGCACGCCCAAATCCAACAGATGCCAACGAACAAGCAGCATGTACAAGTACAAAGGTAGCTAGGCAGGTAGGTACGTATGTGTGTATGTATGTATGTATGTATGTATGTATGTATGTATGTATGTATGTATGTATGTGTATAACTGGGTATCTATGCCACAACATGCTTCTGCAAGCTTGGGTCGGGAGTAGGCTGTCTTGAGGCTGGCACACATGCTGGCGAATCTGGAGCCAGCTCTCGTGCAGCGGTTGGCTAAGTAGCTGTGGTTCCGTCTTGGCGGCAAGATGCCGAACTCGAGTCGAATCATTATTGCATCTGCCGCAGCCAGAACATCGCAGGAGCCGTCTTGAAACGCTGTCCCAGCTCACCAGAAGGTCTTGAGATTTCGAGCCAGTGGGAAACGAGGCCTCGACGGCATCCTCACCACCGAGTCCGGAGTCCAGTCCCTACGAAGGCCGGCATCAATGCTGATTGAGCATCTTATGATCTGCAGTTCTGAGCTGGGTCAGGTGAAGCTGAAGGGAGCAGTGCTGGATCGCATCTAAGCAGTGGCCAAGATCCTGAGAGTTGGCATCGTAATGTGGTCATGACATCAGTGCGATGTGCCCGAGGGCTGAGCAGCTCAGTCTCCTCGCTCAATGCGCACATGCCAATGCCGTGTTCTGAGAATAACTTCTTCAGTCACGCGGCACTGTGCGCGTTCCAATTACTCGTATATATCTCGCAACATTGTCTGCACCAAACGGTCACCAAACAATTCTTTCCTACAAGCAACGTTTGGAGACAAAGATATGCTGCCGCGGATGTTGCATGCTAACATTAGTTCACAGTTGCGGCGAAACTGCAGGCACATGTGTCCAGGGCGGCAGTCTCCACTCGACGGAGTCAGACGCGAGGAGTTGCTGCCTGAAATGGGGGATTGCATACATCGCTGCAAAACTAGTGCAATGATGTGAATCGCATGTCGAAAATGACAGATCATGTGTGCATACCTACTGCCTACAGCAAGCATCAGCTCATGCATGCTGAGGGCTGTTCACTTTTCTGCCCAAACAGATTTACTTCGCATCATTGGAGCATCACCCCCAGCCACAGAGGAGACTGGCGCGGAGCTGAAATCCCTGGAGCAGGCATCGGAGAATCATCGTGGGTTGGCAAGAGCGGCAAAGCAGCATTCGAAGACATATTGCCCATACCAGTCTGTCTGCGTGCCTTCCTTCGAGACCTGTGTTGACAGTAGCCCTGGTTTGCTGATGATGCCCGGACATGACGTTCTGATGATGACCTGCGCATGTAGGAAGACGACAAGACGGCGGAGCCATGCCGACTCCTCGGACCTTTGCAATCTCTGTGACACCCCCGTGTCGTTCTGATGCCGCTGACCAGGCTTAAACCTAAGTGCGGCAGCATCGGAAGGTCGGCCAAAACATTTCCAACGGTGTTTGCGTGGATAGATGTGGCTCAAATGGCCATGGAGTTTCAGTCGTCGCCATTTCATAGGGCGTGTGGGCTCGTTGCACTAGTCAGTCGAACAAGCAGACTTCTCCGCAGGCAGAGACATAAGAACTGTGAGTTGCGTGCGACGGCATGGGAGACATTCGGCCGCGGCCAACCCTGGAAACGAGAGCTCGCGCTGTAGGCTTCCATGCTGGCTCGGCGGAAACATTAAGGATGGGCGTCTGGACTTTCATGCAGCCGCTTTGCAGACAATGCTGTTCAAAATGATTGGGTTGACTGGATTGCTTGGTAAGATTAGTCGTACACAGAACGGGTTTGCTTAAGCACTTGTGCTCCTTTATGGTTGCCTGGCTGATGTTTTGCATTTGTCCTCAGCCAGCTGAGGCGCTTGCAGGCTTCTGACCGGCCTAGGGGAATCAACTTCCAGACTGAGCAAGTTGAAGGTGGGTGGCAATCTGTTTTGACGTGCCGCTGTCACGATCGACGTGGAGTTCCGTATGCATGGAGCGGCAAAGAGTTCTTAAGTGATGTGGCAACCAAAAAAAAGGAGGCTGAAGAGGGTGCGGCAGGCAGTTTCTTCAAAGACCTCGATGTGCAAAGGACGGCTGCTGGCCTCCCCCCTGCCAAACGATACGTGGACGCCTTGGAGTCGTGGCAAATCACCCGCAATCTCCGGCCGAAGCATAATTAAGTGATGAACATTGAGGAGTGTTCGAGTCCAGTCTTTCACTCTTTGACTTGTGGTTGTGGGCTCGCGTCCAAGCCACAAGCGTAGCGAAGGGAGCTGGCATAGTGGCAGTTCACTGGACGAGGCGTGCAGTTGGGGAACAAGTTTGATCCGTTCTCCTGACTTTCCATGATAACACTTTGTGCTTCCGCAGGTAGGGCAGCGACTCGTACCGGGTACGGCGGAGTAGACCTCAATTGTGAAGTGTCTAGCAGGTTTAGGGCATATGGCTCTGAGTGTCATAAACCCTAAACCCTGAACGCGAAGCTAGTCTGGTAGGTAGCCCCAAGACAAACTAAGTGCAGAACCGTAAACCCTAAACCCTGAACCCTAAACCCTGAACCCTCAACCCTGAACCCTAAACTCAAAACCATAAACCGTACCTCCCGTTGGGTTGCAGGCACATGTGAAGCTAGCTCGGGGGATCCCTGGCTGCGCACCCGTGAAGGTTCATGCGTCGCTGCAGGTACGGCTGCGAATAGCTCAAGGCTTTAAGGGTCTGCAATGGCTCTTTAATGGGTCTGTAAAGGGTCGTTAAGGGAATTCAACACACGTGGTTTAACTGGAACTGCGCCTACAAAGTCCATGATCCTTCTAAACCTTACCAACTCTCCGAAAACCTTTGAACACATTCGTAATAGCATCACCTAAAGCCTGTAAAGCACTGGTGAACAAATAAGCCCTGGTAAAGATTCTTGCCGTATTGCCGTGAGGACAGTGCCTCCTGCCTCAAACCTCAATATCTAAACCCGCAAAGCTAAAGCAAAGTCATAAAACGCCCTTTTCAAAGTCCCACAAAACACTGTTATCCTGTAACTCTCTTCGAAAAACGCCTAACCACCCAGCTCCAAGACGAAAAACACTGTAAAATCCGAAACAAAAGCGCAACACCCTGACAAAAAGCACCAGGGCGTTGTTTAAAACTGCTAAATGCACTTGCTGTTGTTCTCTGCAGCCTGAGGCCATATTAGTCGGCGCGAACCTCAGGGGCGTCACCTCAGAGTTTTCGCGAACTCTGAGGATCGCTCACCAGTAATCGGTTTAAAATTTCAAAGAGCTGGATTCGCAGGGATTCCGCTCGTAGAAAAAACACATCTTAGAGCCTTGCTTCGAAATACATGGAAATACATCATCCTTCACCTTGTGCCAACAAGGACGGCGTCCTACCGTAGAAGACCTTGTGCCCAAACCGGACTTGGCGGCTGCAGAACGGAAAGCGCATGCCATTTTTCTCCCCCGCCAAAGCAAGGTCACTGCGTGCAGCAGTGGCGTGAGTTCTTTTCAGGCCCATCAGCTGATGAGGTTGAAGCAGTTTGTGCACATTGCATGGGTTTTGGTCGACAAAGTGTCGCATTGCGGTGTAGGACTGTCACTGGCCTCCAGCTCCAGCACTTGCAGCTTGGATGTTTTGGGCTCAGATTCTCATCTGCGAATGTTCGAGTCGCGTGGATCTCCTGCCCAACAAGGAGCGCCTGCTGCACACCATCAACATGGACTGAGAGCTTCGTTTGCTGTTCCAGGCGGAGCTACCAGCTGCTTCTGCAGGACATTTCGCGCACTCCACATGCTGTTGCCCCCGAGAAGATGCAGGACCAGTATAAGTATAATTACCTATATGTGTTTGCCATGCTACTTGAAGCTACAGGCGATGCTGTGTACGGCTTCATCATATGGCATCCGCTACACGCAAGGGCTTCATGAGGTGAGCCCTGGGGGGCTCATTGGTGTCAGGCTCGGCTGCAGTCTCCTTTGCTGTTCCTGCAAGGTCCTAGCTGCCTTTCTCCTGGCACAGGGAGGAGCCACAGATGATGAGGATTGAAAACTGTGTCGTCATGACATGCAGGTCAGGTTCATGAAAACATCAGTCCGGTTCATGGCCTCGCAGGTGTTCGCCATGTTCGTTGTCTTCGTTCGGACCCATGCTCCGTCCCAGCCTGACGCAACACTTTCAACAAGTTTCATTGTGGTGGTGATTCCTTGAGGTTCTTCCATACCGAGGACCTTTTGGAGCTCCTCGTATGCAGTTAGAATTCCGAAGACCATTCGCGGTACTGAGCCTACCACGGGCACGAGGAAGCGTTTGTATTTGTGGGCCCTGGTTAGGAGCTGTGCGCATTAGCCTCATTAGCCGACGGGTGTAGCAGGCAGGTGCATCTATCCTTGGGCAGGCGGTGAGACGTTCTGCCTTCATGGGGCGGATGGAAATAGCCCACGCGTAACAAACAAGGTTTCAGGCCAAGCATCTTGCGGCGATGCGTGCAGAGCTTCGTATCGTGCCAGTGGAGTCATCGCACGCGCGCAGAACTGATACGGTGTCGGTGTTTTTTTCTCCGCATGTTGTCCAGTTCTGCTTGTTATCCGTGGATGGGAGGCCACAACACTGATGAATGTCAGAAGTCCCGGCGATAAGGGTTGAGAACGCGACAAAATCACGCACGCATCGATGATTTTGCAGGAAAGACATAGTTGTTGCACCCTTCTACTGCTGGATTAAGCAGTTCCGCTTCTGCAATGTGGGTGTGCCCTTCTGGCTGCACCGGGAGAGCTAGAGCGAAAGCATAAATTGTGCGATGCATGCGAAAGGCTATGCATCTACGATGCACATGCATGTACACAAGTTTGTTAACATAAGCTAAGCGAAGTGGCAAATCTGGGAGCACGTATGTGTTGCAATCTGGGATCGTCTCAGGAAATCTCAAGCCTCAACAGCTCAGAACATAAGCATCGCAACATCCTGAACAAAACTCAGAAGAATTAGGTCGTTGTGCCTGCCTAAGTCAGGTCTTGTGTCATTGGTCCGTGGGCGTGAAGTGTGTGCACACAATCTCGTTGAACTACATGCATTATGGTGCTACATGTCGTCAGCCCATATCTGTGTCACGATGCTGCTCAGACAGAGAATCCTTACCCCCGAGTGTGCCCGCATCATGATAGACTTCGTGCTGGAAGCGCTTGGTGCGCATTCTAGGCCGCTACAGCCAGTGCTCAGCCTGCTGGATCGCCTCGTCTACTTTCATCGCCGGATTCCGAAATGATCAAATGAATTGGATCGAATCCGCCAGTTTAGAACACGGTGCTAGGTCCGGACATGCAGAGGCATTTGGTGCAGAGCCGCGTGCGCGGCGCCAAGAGCATAAGAGCTGTTGGGTTGCTTGAGAAGAGGAGACGGAGAAGGATGTCTGCAATCCAATGACTTGCTGAGGACGCCTGATGTGTTTTTGACTTAGTCCACTTACACTTACACTGCTTGGTCAGCACCTTTGCCCCGCTTTGGGAGCACTTCATTCCGCTAAGGTACGCGTTGCACTGGTTCTTGACGGTGTTCGCACACAGCTCTTCTGATACGAGGCGAGGCTCCTTGTGGTGAGCCTTTTTGCGGCTTCCGCTAGCTTCAAGTCAGGATGACATTGAAGCTTTGGGACAAGCTGCTGCGAAGAGGCGGGGCTGCAGTTCATCGATGAGACTGCGAGGCGCGAGGCGTTTGTTTGTTGGGCGCCGCCTTTCAAAGCACAGCATATTATTGAGATGCAATAATGCGCAGCACTGCAAAGCAAAGATATGGACAGCAAAACGCTGCGTTGATGATGCCTGTAAAGCTGTGGCCCAGACAAGAGCCACTGTCTTTTGCTGGACTGATTTCGAAACGAACTGCCCCTGTCTGACGAATCATTGTCGGATGGAGTCGAATTTACTGCTGATGTCTTGTAACCTTGTTTCGCGAGTCGCTCAGCCCTGCAGGAGGCAAAAGATAGCAACCCGATTGGTTTAGCATGGCGCAGCATAGCATAGCAGGGAATTTTCAGGTGGGGAGTTAGGGGGTGGGAAGTCCGAGCAAGGTCGCAAGCGCAGTGTCGTGGGGTGGGGGGCGGGTGGAAAGGTGGTCGGGGGTTAGCTCCTCCTGTGTGTGGCAGGCTTGTTTAGGGTCAAGGTTTAGGTTTTGGGTTCAAGGTTTAGGGACATGGAACCAACAGCACTGACATAGGCTTCGCAAGGCACTTACATAGTTGTATCGATTGGCGGAGCCAAAGTCTACGAGTCTATACGGTCCTCGCGGCCATCGGAAGTCCATGTCCGACAGTCTTGCCCAATCTATCGTAGCGGTGGTGGTGATGGTGGCGGCGGTGGCGGTGGTGGTGTGTGTTGTGGGTCAGCGTTGCTCGCGTTGGTGCTGGCGATGTGTTGCTGGTGTTGTAGCTGATTTCAGGTTGTTCCCCGGCTGCGCTGAGGTCACCGAGGTACGTCTACTCTTGTTTGTGCCTATGATCGTGATTTGTGCACATGACGCATCCTTCTTGTTGCCTTGCCGCAGTCTTGCCGCCATGTCAGACATGTCACAGCCAGGAGATCAAAGCAGCTTCGAAGGAGGCGTGTACTGTCCAATGAGAAGCACCAGTGGCCCAATGGTGCGACTTGCTGCCATCAGACCCACCTACCTGCCATTTGATCGCAGGAGTTCACATCGTGTCTTGCATAAAAGCACAGTAGTGACGTGGGGGAGCTTTGTATGACTTTGTTGTTTCAGTGTGAACTCAAAGTTGTCGATAGCTTCTGGCCAGTCCCTGGCACCGATCTGTGTCTTACACCACTCATGCCTGGCAGAGTGGCAAGGACCCTGGTAGCCCATCGCCTCATGGCTTTTGTGGCTTTTGTTGCGATACCCTCTGCACGCAGCCGAAGCGGCATCTCATTCAGCTGGCAGTGTCAATCGTAAGCTTTTGCGGCATGTGGCCCTGGGGACCTTCGCGTGGTGAGACCCGTGACGGGGCTCACTCCATCGAACCATGAGGCACGTCTTGCCTTCTAGGTACAGAGTTCCTGCAGGGAGGAGCGGTTTCACACGAGACCTCCTCGGGAATTCATGGTCAATGTCTTGCGTCCATTCTGAACATGACTTGGCCGTTCCCAAGGCGATTTCGCAAGCGGAGCCGGCCGCTGACGAACATCTGCTCGTGATATGAGTCCTGCATGCCCTCTCGACCCTCAGCACTTACATGCTCGTCCTGAGAAGGAAGGACCTGTGTCACGGACGGGATTCCGCATTGTGGCAAGATCGCTGCCCAAGGTTTCCGGAATTTGTCGATTTTGACACGTTCAGCGCATTCCTTCAAATTGCTTCAGGCAAAACACATGTGTTGAGTCTGGTTCTTTTTTGATGGAACTTCGGACCAAAGCGTTGCATGCATGCAGGTGTTTATTCAAGCGAGTTTCATAATGCCTGATGAAATGCATGACCTTGGAAACCATCTCGAGTTGAAAAAGCTGCTTCGCCCACACCGGACTAATGAAAACGACCATGCTCTGATCGAGTGAGCGTGTGAGGGTGAAGAAGAGGGAGGGACTGCGGGAGAACTACCAGTGTCTAGCCGCACGCTTTCATCTCTTTTGAGTTCCGCCTGCCCGAGCCATGGATGATGCGACCTTGACATTCGAGGCCTCGGAGGTGCCATTGTTGTCCAACAATGAGCCCCCTGCATCGTGTCGGTTGCAATCCGGCAGGATGTGCGTGCTGTAGCATCGTTCAGCAAGATGGGGCTCAGGGACGGTTTACAGCTGTTTCTTGTTCTCCCGTCTGGATTTTCCAGCAGCCCCGCAAATGCAAGCAGGACGACGTGCTCCGAGGTGTGTATGCATATGGCTTCGAGAGGTTGGGATGGTGCCTATGGGCCTATAGTATGGAACACAAGCCCATTCGAGGCCATCGCCTGTGCAGCAGAGAGCGATTCGTCCAGTGTTACAAGGCTCGGGAGAAGAGCGGCAGGGTGAAGAGAGAGAGAGCGGGCCATTATGTGCAGGCCGCGATGTGATCGTGCAATCACAAAGTGGCACAGGCTAGCTTTGCTGCAAGGGTTCAGACTCCCGCAGTATCTGATTCCTCGCAGGGAAGACATCGGTGTTTTGCCTTGGCGCCTTGCAGACCCTGGATATCTCGAGCACGGAGCCGCAGGTGGGAAGTCAATGTCGCTGCTAATGTCCTCATATCCAGGAATCCAGGCCTAGGCTTTCATGTCTTTGAAGGGTTGGAGGACCACAACTCATCGTTTGCCGTTGCTGCAATAGCCGCCACGCTGTCAGGCTGCGCTTCTGTCACCCACGCGTGAGCTAGCAGAGCAGAGTGCCAAGGCTCCGATGGTCTTCAGAGTGGTCTTCAAAAAGGGAGTCGCTTTGATCTGCAGGTGTGTGCGGCATTGGGTGATTATATGGGCGTGAAGATTCACCGATGCATGGGTGGCAAGAGCATCAAGGACAGCATCAAAGCACTCAAATCTGGCAGCTTGCCAAAGAGAAGGGCTGGAGCACTTGTAGCCTCGCAGTGCCAGCCTTTGCGCAAGCTTTAACTCATTGCGTAGAAGGTTAGAGGCCGGGAAAAAGGGAGCCCATTGCCTCAGCCAAGGGGTTCACATCATCTCTGGGACTCCCGGACGCGTGGCTCGGTGTGGCGTTGGCACTTTATGGGGGAGTCTCTCCGGGGGCTGGAGTCAATGTGGAGGTCTTGAGCATGATCCAGCAGCGGCATTTGGAAGTCACTCAGATCAAGCCTGGTTGCCACAGACCACTGTCAGCGGAATTGGACGTCAAGCAGGTGAAACGCATGAAGATGCTGGTGCTAGATGAAGCCGATGAGATGTTCAGCAAGGGCTTCAAGGAGCAGGCGCTCATCCTTGAACCTCAGGGGGCATGTTGAGAGCCTCTCTCTTGCGGAGGTGTATAGCATTAGGCGGAGCCTGCCGGAGCGACTTCAGACTGTGCTCGTCTCGGCCACGCTGCCTGAGGAGGCCACAAGCCCTGAACGCCCTACTGTACCCTCTAGTTTGATTTAGGACCTTTAGGATGTCTGCAGGTGCTCGAGATGACACAAGACTTCATGAAGAAGCCCTTCCGCCTGCTGGTGAAGCGTGAGGATCTCTCACTGCAGGGCATTCGGCAGTTTTATGTATCTGTGGAGAAGGACTGTCTGCAATCAGCGGAGTGAGCTTCACGAAGCTTTGGAATGTGCGTGCCTTCCGCCAGGAAGAGTGGAAATTCGACACGCTTTGTGATATTTTCGATTCCGTGGCAATCACCCAAGCTGTGATATTCTGCAGCTTGCCTGAGATAATGCCGAGTGAGTCCTGTTCGGGTGCAACACCAGGCTAGGTGCGAAGTCCGAAGGCTCTAGGAGCGACTCACCGGGAGGCAATAACAAAAAGAAAGTCGATTGGCTTGCGCAGAAGATGCGTGGAGCAAACTTCCCCATCGCCTCGATTCACGGAGACATGCCTCAGAAGGCCCTCTCGTGAAAGTGGCTCCATTCTGTCGTGTCTTCACTATTCTCGAAGGAACGTGACATGGTGATGGAGGCCTTCCGAGATGGCCGGACGAGGCATCCCATTCTTCGAGAGAGGGATGGTGAGATGCTGCGCCTTGGTTGCCTGAGCTCAGGCAGCTCATCGCTACGGATCTGCTGGGTCGTGGTCTGGACGTGCAGCAGGCCACGAATTGGGGGACATTTTGAGAATGGCTTGGCAATGAGTAGTCTCTTGGAGGTCACACTGGTCATCAACTATGACGTTCCAGCAAGTCGCGAGCATCTGGACGGCACCCCGCGCCCGTTCAGACTCAGCTCCTCCATGCAGCGCACCCCACCCTACCGGTGCAGTGGGCTACTGCTAGGTTCTACCTGCATCGTATCGGTCGCTCCGGTCGCTTTGGGCGCCGCGGTGTCGCTGTGAATCTCGTGAGGCGCCAGCTTAGCTTTCAGCGGCAGTGGTCCCAACTTCTGAAGATTTCACGCCGGAGGACCGAAGACGAGGTGCTCATCAAGGATCTGGAGAAGTTTTATGCCGTCTCGATACAGGCCCGACTGAGACTTACCAGGGATCTTCAAAATCAGAAACGCTTGTGCTGCGAGTCTGCGAGGAGCTGCCCGCGAACTTTGCAAACGTCCTGAAGGGATGAGTGCGACAGCGACGTCCTGCCCGTGTGAGCGAAAACGGGAAACGCAGGGAACCAGTGCACACAGAACCCACGTGTGAAGCTGCCCGACTGGGCCCGACTCCACCTGCACTCGCAGCCTCCCAGCGACACGTGCTTTAGTCTTTAGGACATGCGCAGACCGGCAGATGTCGGGCATGGCATTCCACACAGTCTTCAGAAGGCGAAGCGTCCCGGCAGTGACCGTGAGTTTTGCTTGGCATGCGCTTGGCCGGTTTCGGGAACCGATGCGGCATGGGCAGCCCGTCGCATGGCCCTTGAGGAAGGCCAGACAAAGCAACATGTTGCATGGGAACGTCCATGCAGCCAGGAGCAGACGCAAAGCTACACTGGGCTGGGTGTTTAGGTCGTTAAAGCACCCAGCAAACCCACAGCGATTCGATTCAATCGTCCTCGAATGCTCGGAAGACTCATGCACACGAAGGACGATGACAGTTATGATATGATCTTCATCTTAACCTTGTATGTAAATCTCTCGAGATTTCGGAGTATTTCAAACTTGAATGTGTGCCGACTGCAGGGCTGGAAGCTGACGCCAGCAGCCCAGTTTTCGAGTTCGCGAGCCATGAGCGAGCGACGGATCGAAGGCCACAGTTCCTTCACCGAGTTTCTCAGGCTCGAGTGTGCCTTGTGGCAGGAACGGTTCAGCACGCTGCTTTTACTTTGGTTCGCAGGTCGCCAATGTTGCGGGGGAGGCGGGGAGCTGAGGTTTGCATTCTGAATCATTGACGCTTCAGTTCGTCCATCAGGCACCGGTGGCAACGACACCGTGCCCGTCTCAGCAGACAGGGTGCCGTAGTGCGAAGCCAAGTGCACACACGCGCAGCGTCTTGCAGATGCTGGTGGTGCAGGAAAGGGCCCTTTGGCTCATGTTCGGTGTCAACAGCCTTCTCACAGGCCTGCAGCGTCCTGCAGCAGAAACACTTCGGTGCAGCAGTAGAAGAGACAAGCAGTTCTACCAAAGGAACTCAGATCTTTTGCGGAGTCCTTGCGTCCGCGACCTGAGAGCATGCTTCGATTCAGGATCTTTCCGTTTCTTTCATGCTCAGGAACTCCCTGTCCCTGCTGGGGGATGGGGCGTTGATGGCAATGGACGGTGCCGGAAAGCCCAGCAGAGCTAGCAGAGCCAGGACGCCTACGCCTAGCCAGAGCAGAGCAATGAGCGCTTCAAGCGAGGTGTCTTATGCTGTGAGCCTCTATGCCGAGAAGAAGAAGGCCTCGGCGCAGGCCAGAGACACCGTCGCTTGCCGCCGAATCGCTGGCTTTGGAGACACTCGTAGTAGGACGCCAAGCGACTGGACCGAGCAGCTGCCTTCTTCAGTGCTGCGATGCTGGCGGCCACGACGCTGCTGAGCTGAGCTTTCGGAAAGCGTGTTGCGTGTGCGGCGAGTGCGGCGAGTGCGCTTTCGAGGGTCTGGGTGCTCTTCGACGTCATCGAGCGGTTAACCGGGCAGGAGCGGGAATCGGCTCTCCAGGCCCAGAGGGGCGGAGCGCAGTGGAGCGTGAGCCGCTGCTCGAGCCGCAGACCCGCAGGTCGGCCTGGGCTCCCAGCTGCACGACATCCAGGCAGGGCTCCGCACCCTTTTGCGCTCCTCCGCTCCGCTATGCTCCGCTATGCTCCGTCTGAGGTGAACAGCGACATCATGATCGGGTTCACGAGCCTGAACCTGGCTGCCGACTTCCTCGTCGTGCCGCCTGTCGCTGTCGCTGTCGCTGTGGACCGCCTCGGCCTCGGGCAGATTCGGGCTGTCCGCAGGTGCTCTGCACCTGGAGCTGCGGCGCCTCGAAGCTCCTGGAAGAGGAGGCAGAGGCAAGCGGGCAGCCGCGAGGGGCCGCGAGCCCCGACTTAAGAAGAAGACGCCGTCTCTGTTTCGACGCCGAGACCCTCTGTGAGGCATCGAACCTGAACCTCTTCGGGGCCCTGGCTCACCTCGGTGCTGACGTGGTGGGGGAACACCAGCCCGCTTCCCCCTTCCCCCCTTTCCCCCCCGCCTTGCTGCCGAGGTCCGCGGCTTCGCCGTGCTTCTGGCAGGGATCCTGGCCGAGGCCGGTGGACCGGCACGTGACCTCACGACCTCACTCTTTGCGGGCGAGGTTGGCCTCGTTCAGGCTTCCATGGCCTGGTGCTGAAGCGGACTGAAGCGGAGAGGGAAGGGTGCCATGTGCTTGGCTTTTTGCGCAGCGCTGCAAAGGCGGATGCCTACTGCTCGCTCTTCGTCTGCATCTTCGTCTTGGCAGCAACTGCCTCGTCCGGGAACCCGGCAGAGTGTCCCCAGCGATCCCAGTGGCCTGGCTCCGCCGGAGCACTCATGTCTCACCCTCGTTGCTTCTTGGCTCAGTTCCCACTGTAGCATCCACAAGACCGTCGCACCACGCATACTGCATACTGGCATACTGCAACTCCCGCACACATGCTGGCTCACGCTGACCCGGTAGCTCCTGTCCTTTTCCATTGGCTAGGCAACTTCAGACATCTTCCACGGCCGCTAGGGCCTTCACAACGAAGCCACACGACACAGCCACGCTCGGATCCATGACCATCGATGCAGGAGAGACCCCTGTTGCAGTGTTTTAGTTGCCAGGTTTCAGCATTTCTTTCCCGTCCCTCCGTGCTGGTAGCTGCTGCCAGGAGCATCCACACGTTTTCCGGAAAGCAGCGAACCTCTCGCACAAGAGCAGGCTACGGGCACGTTCTGGTGGCTCTGTAGGGAAGTTGCGAGTTTCAGGGTTTTCAAGGTTAGTTTCGGTGTTGAGTTTCGGGGCAGAGGCCAGGTCAGTTTCGGATCCAGCGGAGTCCAGTTTCGGATCAGGGAGCGGCCAGTTTGTAGTACACGTAGCAACTACTAGTAGTACAAGCAGCAGTAGTACTCGTGGCAACTACTACTCGTACTGGTCGTACTGGTTACAAGTAGCACTGTAGTACGAAAAGTACTCGCAGAACTAGTTCGCAGTACTCTTAGTATGAATTACTCTAGTGGTATTGTAGTAGTCACCTGGCAACATCCCGAAGCCCACCCTCCCCCCGCGCCCCAGAGCTGACCCCACGGCCCAAAACTGACCACCTCGCGCCCCGACACTGACCCTCCCCCGCCCCGAAACTGGGCCCCGAAACTCACCCCCGTGATCCGAAACTCATCGGCACCGAAACTATGGGCACCCGGCTCTGTAGTGAAGCTGTTTTTTTTGGGGTCGGATGGTGCAGAGGCGTACACTGGCTCAGTTGCGCAGAGTTGTGCAGAGTTGTGCAGGTGCGACTGCCATTGTCGGAGCCCCAGCACTTCAAAGGCCGGACCTAGCCTGGCGCGTCTGACACCGGAGGCTGTCCCGAGCAGACGAGGCAGGCGCATTGCGATTGCCCGAAGTGAAAGGGCGATTGTCCAGCAAAGAGAGTGAAGGGAACTGCCTAGATCTGGATGACGACCATTTGCTCCGAAAGAAGAAGGGCATCCGGCTCCCGGGCTCCAAGGAGCCGCCCGAGCTGAGGGAAATCCCCGAAGAGGCGTCGCCCTCGCCGTCACCTCGGAGCACCGCCAGTGGCGTCACCGAGCGGAGTGCCCGCTCTTTGGTGGAGCCCGTCGCAGAGATCTCCCGCGGCCCGGAGGCCCAGGCTGCCCAGAGCTGCCCAGTGAGCGGAGAAAAAGGCTCTAGGCAGCTCGCCTCAACTTTTCGGTGCTTTCCCAAGGCCTTTCCTTGCCTTTGCTCGCCGCCCTGCGGGCCTCGCGCACCGCTCTGGAGGAGCCGCTGAGTTGCCCGGGACCCGGATGAAGGGGATGGCAGGCTCCGCGCTGTCTCCCGCGCTGTCTCTTTTGCTCTCTCGACTTTCGCTGCGAGGCTGTGGCGGACTGGTAGCGACTTTGAAGTATTTCAAGGAGAATGTGATCAACATGTTGGTGTTCAGGCCGATCCATCATGCATATCCAAGCCCATCACTACCACATCATCTGATCGCGCTTACCATGATATTATAGAACATGGACCTATCAGCAGCAGGTCTTGATTGCATGAATGTGGCAGCCGTGTGCCGTCGCCTCTTTTGGCCTTGATTCAATCTCGGCGTGGCTGGTAAACCCACGCCGCCTTGGGTTGCCCTGCTGCCCGGGTTTCATAGTGGCACCGGAGCCTCAGTAGACCAGAGACTTGAGTTCCAAACAGTTGGGCTGCCTGTTATTCCACCTGGGAGATCTGAGCTTCACTACGGAGCATGCTATGACCACTACACTCGCGCAAGGTGTCTTGGCGACTACACCTTTGAAACAACGAGCGTGCAACTCTTCGGGCACAGCCGTCATGAGGGTACCTTCCTACAGTGCTTGGGTTGCCACATTCGACTTTTTCATGTGGAACACGGACACTGGCATGGGACAGTCGCAAGACGCTGGTGTGTCGTGAAAGTTGCCCGAAAGTTGATTTCAAACCCACGGCGCAACCCTTGGCAGCGGCTTGATGAAGACCATGCTTCTGCCGGATGTTATTCAGCAGTCACAGTCTGGAAGTTCCTGATTCACCTGTATGCCTTTCTGGATTGCATAGTGAATTATAGATCCTACAGATTCACGCATGGCCATCTGTCGCTTCTCCTGCCGCTCGGGACTCCTTTGGTTGGTTGTTTGGAGGGGAGAGAAGGGAGTACTTTTGGGGTTGAGCCACGCATGCAAAGGTTGCTCAACCGTCGCGGCATACATTCACCTATGCATCCTTGCCTGCATACTTGCCCATGTACAGCTACATGTACTTTACATTTCCTATTCTACGAGATTATTAGGGTACACTACACACATACCTACACACTACATGATGTTGCACTACATTCTATGACAGCGTGGCACTGTTGTGGCCTCCGGCGTCCTGAATGGTGTGCTTCCAGACCCCAAGAGGTTTCGGAACGACGATGGGAAGGTTGGTTTGGCCAAAGCGCAAACACACTCCACCTACCTTCTACCCTTGCATTCGATGTCAAATCGAACTTTGTGTCCAATCGCATTCGATGTGTGTCTGCCCATTTGGCTTGCGGAAGCGGATTGGTTCAACTTCGTGGCCTTGTTCTTGGTCAAACGACTGTTTGGGCCGAGAGGCTCCAGTAGCTGATCATGTCCACGTCGAGTGTCTTCACTCGTACAATCGGTAAAAAGTATTGAACTCCCCAGTGGCAGCTGAGCCAGCCGATGCCGGGAACGGTGTCTCAATTATAGCCGTTGTGTCTCACTGACAGCACGCCGGAGCACTGAGAACTTTGGCTTTGAATTGTAGCATCGCGAAGAGCAGCAGCCGACCCGCTTCGGCGCCACTTCATTTTCGTCCAACAAATTTTTCCGTTGCTCGAAAGAAATGGCCCTTGACTGATTTGCCCCAGGGCCCCAGTCTTCGCTCCCAAGTTTTCGCATGTTTAGCGGGTCCATCGTTCGGTTAGTGTCCGCTGGATTTTCCAGCCATGTTGTTGTCCTAACACCGCATTTGCGCAAGCATGCTCGTTTCTGCATGCGCCGCATGCGCCACGCCTGGTCAGGAATTGGAACGAGGAGCGTGATAAGTTCGAACACGCAGCTTCCGGCTCAGGGTCGAACGCTGATGCCTAGGTCCTAGGAGTCCTGGAGTTTTTTTAGGGCCTTAGGGTTTTGGCCTAACGCCGCTCAGGTGAATTTCTTGACCTCGGTGGCCTGGCGGCCTCGTCCAAGGAATGGGGCCCTTTCGCTCTCTGCTATGCCTTTGTCCAGGTGCCCCTTTTCAAGAAGCAGCTGCCTCCCTGCGAGCTGCCAAAGGCTGGAACTTGAAAAGGGCCTTGCCTAAACGGACGGGGCCTGGTCTCTTCTGAGTCTTTCGAATCCCCCCAAAGAGGTGGCGCAGCTTCTAGAAGAGAAGACCTGGCCGAAGGGCTCCAAGCTCGTTACCCAAGGCCCTGACTTCTTTTCCACTCCTTGGCTCCGCACTTTTGCACACCAGTTTCTACCAAAAGCAGGAGACATCGGCGACACCTTCTTCATGATCTACGAAGGCCAGGCGGCCTTGATGATGAAGGACTTCTTGCGTCCGCAAGTCCTTAAGTCGGGCGGGTTAAGCTTCGGACTCACCCGCTCATCCCGCTCCATGCGAAGGACGACCAAGGGGAGGACTGCATGGGCGGCCTTGCGGCCTCACGGCCTCTGAGAAGTCTCTTTTCCGCAAACGGCTAGGAGCAGGAGGTGGGCCTCCTGAGTGCAGGCGACTACATCGGAGGCCCGGTGACATACCCCCTCGAAGAGTCGTAGCGTCTGACGTGTTTTGCTTCTTTTTCGGCCGTGCAGGCCGAGCCATCGTCACGGAGCAGCGGCACATGGCCACCGTCCTGGCTGTCGGTGAGCTGGTCACGCTCTCCATGTCCAAGCAGGCGACTTGCTCGTCTGGAGCTGGAGCCCCCTCGCCCTCGTCGTGCATCTGCATGTGTTCGCAGCTCGAGGCCTTCGAGCAAGCTGGACTGAAGGCTCGGCTGCACTTTCCGAAGCGACCGGCCATCGAAGTCGGAGGCACGGAGACGGAGACAAGGCGCAGGGCCCTCAAAAGCGGCTCGAGCCCTGGCGAGGCAGCAGCCAGGCGACTCTCTTGCCGACCACTCCCTTATCACCCAAGCCGCTTGGGAACGATGTGGCAGCGTCGATTCTTCGATGGCTCGATTGCACCGGCTCACGGAGCTAATTAAGGAAGCGGTCATCCTTCTGCCACCGGGCAAGCAAGACGTGAGGCGTTCAGAGAGGGCTCCATGTCCTGCAACTCTGAGGCATGAAAAAGCTCGATGAGAATCAACAGACTGCAATCATTCGGGCAATGAAACACAATCCGAACTTCAGAGCTTTCGTCGATGGCGCGAATGGGCCCAGCGAGGAGTCCATCAAGGAGATCGTACTTCCCCGAGTCAAAAAGCCTTTTAATGCCTCAGCCTCTCTGGCTCAACCCGTCGCCTCTGCCCAGGTCGCCAACTCAGAGATTCGAACGCTGAAATGCGGCGACACTGCCGCCAAGTTTGGGGATCTTGGTCACGAGTTCTATGTTATCGAGCATGGAGCCCAGGAATGTGAGCATGTGTGAGCCAAATGGAATGGCAGCTGAAGCTGCTCGTTTCCAGGCAAGGGAAGATCGAGGTCATCATCAACACCGGAGCGCTGAACCAGGGGCAGGGCCAAAGAGGTCAGTCAAAGTCGGCCGCAGCTGCAGCCGCCACGTTTTCAATGGCTGATCGCATTCGCAGGATCCTGGTTTCTAATGCCTTCATGCCATCCAGAAGGGGAGTAAAGGGGGAGTGACTCCAGGAAGCAGGACTTCCTCATGAAGCTGCACATCCCTGTGGTGGATCGGAATTCCAAGAAGGCGAAGTTCAACCGCAGCTGCTCTGTGCTTACCAAGGACTGGCAAAGAAAGGAAAGGGGGGGGCCTTTTGTGCGCGTTTTTGTTTTTCCTCTGTCGCGGGGCGCAGGATCCCCGAGAAGAGGAGGCGGTAGTGACGGGCGCCGAGTCGTGAGGACCCCCAGACCAGACTCAAAGGATGCTGTGGCTCCCGTTTTTCATCCCCTTATTTCTAAGGCTTGACATCGGCTCCTCCTTCAACGCCACTTCCTTCCGCGTCAAATCGGCCAGCCGGAAGTTGAAGCTAGGCCGGAAGAGATGGTGGAGTTCCGGCGTCCAACAGCCTTTATTTTCTTGTGCAGGTGCTTTGGCGGATGAGACCGAGCCAGAAAAGCCGAACGACAAGGCTCCTCCCCCCTAAACCTTGGTAACCGATGCACACGAAAGACGCAAGGCCATGGGCCACTGCGCAGGTCATCAGCACGTTGCATGCTGGAGACAGCTTCGGTGAGCTCTCGCTGCTTTACAACATCCGCCGAGAGGCGCGGTCGTGTACGTACCGATGTACACCGGGCCTCCGCTCCCCGCTCTCCGCTCCGCTCCGCTCCCCGCTCTTTTTATGCGAGGCGACCTTCCGTGCCGCTGGGGACGAGGAGACGAAGCTCTTTGCCTCGGCCTCACAACTCGAAGTTGAGATCCGCGCCGTCTCGTAGTGTCTGCTCTTTTGGAGGTGATCAACCGGAAGATCTTCAAAGAGATCACAGGACCGGAGCCGGAAGCAGACGCCAGTTGGCCATCTTGGGCCTGGGGCGCAGGTCGGGACAGCGGGAGGCGGAAGTTCAAGGAGTACTGCGACCTCCTGGACGAGGCGAGTTAAGGGCCTGCCTCGAGCACTTTTTATCGGCGAAGTGCCCAGAACACTGAGGTGGACTCGCTCACTCCCCTCCTGAGGCCCAGTTGGCACTTGGCTCCCAGAGACAAGGCAGTGCCAGAAAGAAATCTCTGGGAGGTCGGAGCGGATGGAGCTGGCCGCCTTTGCGCAGGACATGATCAGCTTCGACCCGAACCAGCGCGTGCTCTTCCAAGGCGAGCTGAGGTGGCCAATTTATGGCACATGTGGCACGCAGAAGAATCGGCCAAAACACCTGCACTTGGGTGCAGGCAAAGTTCGCCAGAAGCCCATGTGGAGCCTTGACTGCCTTGACTTGCGTTCATTACCTCTGCTTGGATTCGATGGGTCCGATGCATGGCCCGAATGATTGAATTCTGGAAGGTACGTGATCTTCAAAGGCACTGCTGTCCTCAGCCAAAGCGACGGTCAGGAGAGTGCAGACCCAAGTGCTGCGCTCGCTTTTCGTTTTTCTGTTGCCTTTTGAAAAGGGGGGGTCGCCCCGTTTTGAGAGGTCGGAAGATTGCCGAGCTCCCGCGAGGCGACCCTGTTTGCGCTACAGAAAGCAGCAAAGGGAAAGCTGATGGTCGTTCAAGTAGGGTGGTTGGAGGGCAAGTTCATGATGGTGATCGTGGCCATCTTTGTCCTGTGATCATGCCAGACAGGGCTGTACACGGCATATGCCTAAGCTTAGTGGCCTCAACGTGTAAAATGTATTGTTCTGATCTTTGGGGCCTTAGGCCTAGCCTAGAATAGAAGGATCTCCGTTGAGCATCAACGAGGCTGCCATATTATGCAACATGCTTCGCTGCATGGAGTGCTTCCCTTCCCTACAGCTAGCTGTGCCCTGACTCCCTACGTCCGTGCGGCTCTTGCAACCTGTAGTCGCCCTTCCGTCTTTTGGACGTTCCTGCGACCATGAAGCTCGTTGCTTCTGTCTGCAGTCCCGAAAGAGCTTTACATGTTCTTGGCGGATTCATCGAGGTAGCCACCTGATACCACTAGTCCCCACCATTCGTTGTTTCACGGGTGCTATTGGATGGTAACGGTCCCAGTAAGACCAACGCACTTTTCATTGCCCCCCCATATGTTGCAGCTCTGGGTTTCAATGACGGGGCCCGGTAACGTCCACCGTCGAGCCATTCTATATGTGAATGGGGCACAGCTTCGACAACTTAGCGGTTATCACAGAACAGGCTTGAAAGTGCAAACACATTCTGACCACCCATAAAGCCCCGAAAAGAAGCAACCATTGTTCAAGTTGTCGGCGCAATCCACGCAAGACGCGCGAGGGGTGAAAAGCCGAAAGGCAAGAAGGAAACGAAGAGAAATGCAAACAGAAAAGTAAAAAACATGAGAGGAGCGAGCTCATGTGAGAGGCAAAAGCACGACGGCCAAAGAGTGCAGCCGAAGTAGTGGGCGAGAAGCGGCGACTTCGACCCACCATCTGCGAATCACTTGTGATCCCGGTAGACGGACAAGTGGGAGACCGTATTGAAGTCGAAGCAAACACAACAACCCCACAACCCCGACCGAACAGCGTGTTCACGATGCAGCCGTGAGGTAACACCTTCGGGGAGCGGTCTCTGCTCCGCGCAAAGGTCACCGGGCAGTGCATCTCCGAGGCTCGGAGCTCTTTGTCGCGCCCCCTAGATGCAAAAGAGAGGGGAAAGAGCAGAGAAAAATCGAAGGTCAGCGTCGATGCTGGGCCCGAGGGCATGACCTGCCTCACTTTCGCGCCTCGGCTAGCCGCCGTGCGCCGTCCAGCAGCAGAAAAGCGATACTGCCAGGATGGCGAGCTGATCTGCGATATCTTCACCAGAACCTCGGCAAACCTTTCACAATCCAGCAATACAAATAGCCGCGATCCTGCCCAGATCTATCCCTCAGCGATGCGTCCATGCTCCCAGATGTGAACGCTGATGTCAGCCACCTGGCGGACCAGACTTCTCCTGTCTCTGTCTGTGGTGCATCCTTCGAACGTTTGAGCTGTTGCTCTGTTGCTTGGGGACTGGGTTGCCGTACCTGTCTGGGAGGCGAGTGGGAGAAGATCAAGACCTGCAAAAGCCGTCAGAAGTTTGAATGCAGCAGCACTATCCATTCTGTGAAAGAGGTTTGTCGCAGCTTGGCACTGCCAAACCGTGTCTTGCGCTTTGATCGCCTGGTGGTGTCGTGGCCACGGTGCTTTAAGGTTTGGGTCAGGGTGCCTTCGGCACGGTCTTCCTGGTAGAGGACGAGCCGTCGCAAGAGCGATATGCGCTCAAGCGGGTGTCGCCGCCTGGCCTGACCTGTCACTGTGCTACATGATGTGCTATTTTATGTGCTATGATGTGAATATCAGAGTGCCACCGCTGCGCCCAGGAAAGGCCATGCCTTGAGGCGAGCGGCCGAGAGGGACTCGCAACCTGATCTGCGCCGCCTTTTTGATCGCCCACATCATGGCTCTGCGCACGGCTCTGCGCAGGTGTGGGACCTGCCAATCGCTTTGCTGGGAGCGGGATCTTCTCAACATGCTGGACAGCAGTTTCATCGTCCGCCTGCACAAGACCATGAAGGACGCGAAGCGGAGCGAAGCGAAAAAAGAGGAGCCGAGCCGGCGGGGGGGAAGCCTTAACGGAGGACCAGCAGTTCGTGTACTTCTTGCTGGAGGCTGCTCTTGGAGGAGATCTCTATGGGCTCTTCAGCACCCACCAGGACCGGCGGGGAGGAGGGCCGGGAGGGCCGGGAGGGACCCTCCCCTCCACTCCGTCGTGGGACGCGTCTGTGAGACGCGAGATGACGCATGAGATGCGGGTCACAGGATATCTTTCTTGCTGACCAGCCTCGTGGCTACACCTCGGCCCGGACGCCAAGGGGAAATCCGGGCTCCGACTCGGCTCCGACTCTTTGCGCCCACGGCTCGGATTCTCTGCTCAGGCCTTTTATGCCGGCTGTGTGATCGCGGCTCTGGAGCATCTGCACGAGCGAAAGATCATCTACAGAGATCTCAAGCCAGAGTGCCGCGCCGGCAGAGCAAACATGTTTCGCAGGCCATGCTGCCCCTTCTGCCCATGCCCAGGAACATCATGCTGGACACCCGGGGTTACGGAAAGGTCTGCGACATGGGCCTGGCAAGATTCGTGGTGGGCAAGACAAACACGCAGGACCGGAGAGCAGGGTTCTGCGTCCGCTCCCAATTCTCATGGCCACGGTTTCCCGTGAGGCCGGGACGCCGGACTACATGGCTCCGGAGATGATCGATCCTCCCCATTACCACGACAACTCCGCCGACTGGTGGTCTTTGGGCGTGCTGATGTATGCAGCTCGGCTCGGAAAGCCGGGGAAGAGAGACAGAGAGAGAGAGAGAGAGAGAGATGTCGGTGGCTGCCCCCAAAAGCGAGGAGATGCTGTGCCAGCAGCTGCCGCTGGGCAGAGAGCCTCGAGACGAAGTTCGCGTGTCGAAGGGCGATGATAAGATTATCTCAAGGTCTGAGAGTTTTGGACCGCCCAGTTTCTTCTTGCATTTTGACGCATCGCTCTGTCCCGACACCGAGGCCTTTCGATGACGAGGAGCTGGAGGACACGGGCGAGCGGCTGCTGGCGCTCCGCCGCAGCCAAGAGCTGCTTGGCGCGAAAATCGCAACACGCAACACGCAACACATCGCAGCGCGGCGCAGCCTGCACAGCGCATCCGCGATGCGGCGATGCGCAGCGCGTCCCCGGGTGAGTTCTGCATTCACTTCTGCGAGGCACCGGCTGAACTTCCCCTCGGAATGCCCGGCCGAGGGAAAGGCCCTGATTGCACGGCTGCTGCGCAAACTGCCACTGCGACTCGGGGCGCAGGCCACGCAAAGGGCTGCTGGTGATTTTCTGGTGTTTTCGAGCGGGGGCTTGGACTCGGACCTGTTTCTCAGACACTGCATTGCCAGGGCGGCGCGGAGGAAGTGCGTGGACACTACTACTTCAAAGGTTCGAGGGATATTTGGGAGAATAGCGGGTTTGCATTTCTGCAAGCTCAGATTTCGACTTCCCGGGCCTCCACGCTCAAGCGCTGCAAAGCCCCGTCGAGAGGCCCGGAGGGCCCGGAGCGAGGGACAAGCCGCTTTGCCGTCTCAGTCTGCCTGAGAGGCCCTGGAAACCTTCAGCTCTCACAGCATCGGTGACCTGCCTATTTCGAGATTGCAGCCATGCGCAGCCTGCAGCCTGTGAATGTAGAAGTCGAAGACATGACAAGGAGATCGCCTCCCCGTGGCTGCGGGGTCCAGAGCATCTGAGCCCCGGCGAGGAAGAGATTTACGAAAGTTACGACGACGATGGCAGCCAGTGGGACACAGAATTCTAGCTGGAGGCCGTTTTTCTAGCCCTGGAGGTCTTGGTCAATTTGTCTTAGATACTTGCAGCGAAGCAGAATTGACCAACATTCTTCCATGCTGCTTGACGCTTGTTTGTTATGCACCGGAGCTGGTCGCTCTGAGCACAGGCCCACCAAGAGCACTCTATCCGGAGTCTGTGTTCCGACAGTGGCCATGCTCCGTTGCTTTCACCATGCCTCTGTAGTGCAGGAGGGAGCGAAACCTAAATTGGCTTCTTGTTCCGCCCTCCCATGCACCTCATGTGCCATGTCCCGTGTCAATTTGTCTCTGACTTGATCGCGAGAAGCTTCTCAGAGTCGGCAAAAGACTTCGATGCGTCGATGCGCCGATGTTGGTGTTTGCCCGTCCAGACTGCAAGCACAAGAGGCGCGGAATGCTCCTCCTGCCCCGAGGCTTCTGAAGACCTTGCTGCGCAGGAGCAATCCTTTGGTGGGTCTCTGAGAGAATCCAGGGAGGTGATGAGCATGAGGCGGCACAACGGTGCACGCATTTGGGGTGCAATGCGAGGCTTATGCACAGATGGAGGGCGAAGGCGCTGATCCAGGCTTGCCTTGCCTCCGCGCTGCACAGCTCGAATCCCTTGAAGGAGACGCTGGCACGCACCCCGGCCAGGAACCTGCCACAGAGGCACTCCCGGCCTCTCGATTTAGGATGTCCAGGAGTCCAGTCACCGCGTTTCATGGTCAGGCCAGCCTTACCCCGACCATGTTGGGAGCTCGCTGTGACGAGCCAAAGCCCCCCACGCTGCCGGACGGCATCTGACAGGGCCACGGCAAGACAAACACAAGAAGTTGACCATGCGAGAGCGGCTGGACACTGTCATGGATTCGAAACCTTGCTCGATTGATTTCAACAAGCCACAAGTGTGTGCGTGCCGAACACCTAGGGTCCGGGTTGTATGGATGCGAGTTGTCTGTCTCAGTTTCGTTCCGAATGGCATGGGCGCTTCGATGCGCTTCTCAGCCTCAGCAAGTTTCGGCCCGGGGTCAGTCCGCTCCCAGTCACGCCGGGTGTGGGGCGCATGTAACCAGGACTGTCCGCTGCGCATTTCTGGAAAACCATCGCTGACAAGACGACATGATTTTGCAGCATCCGTAGGAGTCCGGAGTGTCCGGTGCTGGCCTTTTTCTCTTCCTGCCCGGCTGTGAAGAGTCCGTTGACCTCGAAAGGTCCGCAATGCTGGGCTTGCGATGATGCGGCCGGATCGCGTAGCATGCAAGAATGGCTGAGTTTCGCTTCAAGATCATTGGGTGTATCGTGCATCTCATCACGTTTCAGCACAGGCCGCCATCACGAGAAGATGTTCAGACCGCGCAGTCGCATCTGGCGTGCAACTGAGACTGAAGGCTGACGCACAGCAGGTGCAAGAACACCCAGAGCCGAAGATGTTCCAGCGTTTTGGCATTGTGTTTCATGCTGCGTGGAGCTTCCTTTTTTGTGCAAAAAGCTGCAGCTACTCTATGCAGCCAGTTTGACCGGGCAACACCACGGCGCGCACTGGGCTTCCCATAACTTTACAAAAACTACCGGCCAGTTCAAAAGGGTACGGTTGGCGAGTTGCGGGACCTTCGCAAAGCATCGGAGAGATTGCAATTCATTCCATTCCGAAATATTCTCTACAGTTCAAAAATCTCCGCCAAAGATCGCATATCATTCCTGAATCCAGTGGGCCCTTATGGAAGAAGCTGAGTCGATGTCACGTTTCAGCATCGTGTTTCAAGTTTCTCTATGTCCGTCTCCATCGCTGGAAACCGAAGCGTCAACTTGGCAACCTGGGCCCGAGGTTCTAGTTTTGGGTACGGCAGTCGGAAACACATTTGGTAAGACCTAACACCTGGGGCAGCAGTGCCCGCCCCAGACAGTTCTGCTGAAAAAGGCGATGCCACGTTTCGAACTCAGTTTCGATTCTCATTTGTGTTGCTTTTGGCGAGTCTGTTGATTCGTTCAATTTAGACTTATCTGTTTTGCGTTTTCTATTTTGGCTTGTGTTCCCTACATTTCCAATATGTGTCTTGTTAGATGTCTGTGTTTTCCTATTTTCATCAGTTTCGATTTCATTCATGTTTGTTGATCTTATGCGTGTTTCTTTTTGGCACTTTGGTTTTCCTATTCTGGGAATTCGTTCTGATAGTCGAGATTTTACAGCTTTCTCAGCAGGTGTCTTAACGCTTGATTTGTCCGTTTGCTCCTATGTTTTGTGATTTCCGAATGTATCGGAAGCAGTTTCTGTTGTTCTTGATTTGTTGAACCCTTTACACTGGAGCCTCTACGATTTAGATTGGTTTCTGAACTTCCACCAGCATGACGACAAGGTGTGAGGACATTTCGGCTTCGGTTTTGGTGTTTGCCTCACATTTTACTTACTTCTCTATCTCTATTTTTTGCATCGAAACAGGAGCCAATCCAGCATCTGCAACCCTTAAACCGTTTGACCTTAAGGCAGAGTCGTTCGAGCTTCAGGTTTGTGCTATTTTTAACAAAGCAGGGCATCGGGCTCCGGTTTTGGAGTGGAGGACACCTTCATGCCATCGGTCTTTTGAGGAAAGGCGGTTATAGTCAATATATAGGCTTTGGGATCGCTTCAATAAGTTAGCTTCACAACCCTCTGTTTGCCACGTATGGGGATGGAGGGGAAGCTGTAGACGGATGCGAGGCATGGTAAAGAAGAGCACTCAGCTTCAAGATGTGGTTCCATTCTTCCTGCTGTCTCTCAACTTCTGCATGGGCCCGGAGCAAAGCCCGGACCGAGATGCAAAGGTGCTACTCAAGTCCAAGATGCGGCAGCGTCGGCAACAGGTGGGTGCCTGACAGGAAGAGCACCGGGTACTTGCTGGATCTTGCTGGAAAGGCATCCCTCGATATGGTGGATCCGCGCTCGGGGCACGCCTGCTGCCATCTGTGCTCCCTTCTCCCTTCGGCCTTGCTTTTCATGTAGAGGCGACCGCCTTCAGGGCGTACTCTGGCCGCTCCGCTGACCGCGTCACTACCCTTGCACGTGCAGCGGGCAAACCGCCCAAGAGCCCAGGCCGACAAGTCTGCCTCAAGAGGTGTCACGTGGGTCTGGAGCCTGGCGCTGTTGTGCCGGTCTGGACTTCCGGCCTCGTTACCCTGAGCCGGCTCTGTCTGTAGCCCTTGTGGATCAAAAGGGGGTGTTGCAGATCACGCATGAATTCCTCTCCAACGCCAGTCTAAAGTCTAAAGAGCCACTCTGCCACTGCTTATCACTTTCTCGCGGGGCCATGGTCCGGAAGCGGAGTTCTTCGTCGCCTGCAGCTTAGATGGCTTATAGGCTTCTTTAACTGGAGCGAGGCAGTTGCCCGTTGCAAGCAGGCCCCAGTCGCCACCAAAGAAAGGTAAGAGGGAAAAGAAGGAGATTCATGAGAAGAGCAAGAAGAAGGCTCCTTCCCTCAGCCCGCCACTGCGGCGCTCCTTCGGCAAGTTGGCGGTGTGTCAAGGTGCAGGTGGAAGAGCTCAGCAAGAAGGCCTGCGACTGGGAGTCGCGCGACATGCGGAGCTCTTCTTTGCTGCGCAGACGTCGTGGCTGAGGCCGATAAGGCAGAGGCGATCAAGGAGGTCCCAGAAGCAAAGCCCCGGAAGAAGGGGCCCACACCTTAGGAGCCCCGGTTGATCCACCTGAAATCCTTCAGCTCCGAGGCTCTTCAAAGAGAAGCCCAAGAAAATCGAGGAATCGAAGAAGGTGGGACGGTTCCTTTGTGGTTGGGCGGCGAGAGCCTGGGAGCCCGGGAGGACGCAGACGATTGGGAGCTGCTGGAGATCCGGGGGGGAAGCGCTCGCGGCGAACCGCGGCGAGAAAAAGAGTGCTTTCTCCGCTCTTTTATTGTCGCAGGACGACGAAGAGCTGCTCCGCCCGGAGCAGAGAAACGGAGAGATGAGCGAGAAAGCACAGAGCTCTGCTGGCGCTCTGCCGAGGCCGAGAGCAGTCGCGGCCGTCGGACGTCGGAGCCTCGGAAAACGCGCGGCACGGGGTCGAGGAACTCCTAACTCCTCGAGGCCAAGAAGGCTCCCAAAGAGGCGCCAAAGAAGAAGGCTCCTCACAAACCGGGCGAAGCACACGCGCTGGCGCGCTGGCGCCGGAGATCTGACGGGGCCCGGGGCTCCTGCCAGTTCAGGAGCCAAAGCCGCAGTCACCGAAGCAGAAGGAAGCCAAGGATAACAAGGTGCTTCTGTGCTGAAGACTGCCAAATGTCTCCGAGACTCTCTAGCGTTGCCAGGAAAAGCGCAAGAAGTGGGCCCGGCTCGTGTTCGCCCAATTGACTTGAGTCGAATTGAGCTCCAGCTGTATGAGGCACTGCTTGTGATTTTTCTGGGTCTTCTCAGCAGCCATTGTGGCTGAGTGTGTTCCGTCCCAATGCACACTGGGGCCTGCCCCACTGTGCTTCGAGTCTACACATGCCATGGAGAGCGACTGCTTTGATCGGCCTTACTCTGAATTTAGCTGCATCTTTTCGGCCAGCCATCGAGACGGAGGCCCGACTGAGAGCATGAGCTGTTGCGACTGCAGTCCTGTATTGCGAGGCAGAGATCCTCTCGTCGAGCGACTCCGTAGACCGAAATACCTCGGACTTGGATGCCTGCCTCACGGAGAAACTCGGCACCACGAGCAGCGCTATGTGCCCACGCACGCACGCGCGCACGCATGCACGCTCGCACGCTCGCACTGCTAAATGTCACCATTCCAATGTACCCCGAAGGTTCAGGATGCATTTGTGAATTTCTACATGCAATGGCTTAGTTGCACACGTCAGCCGTGCGCAGTAAGAATAGCTTTTCCGCGCTTCCAAGCCGTGTCGGGAGCAGTTTGTCTCTGCAAGTGGCCTGTAGTGAGAAGCCGAGGCATCCCGAGATGCAGCGGGCAATGCAGTCAGGTGATGTGGACGCCGTGCGCGTCCTCGGTGCAGAGCCCGGGACTGGCCTGAGCTTGCTCTGCCTGAGTGGCAAAGCGGTGACGCCGCTGGAGCTGGCGGTAGGAGGAGTCAGAGGCACTGCAGGAGCCGCTTCTGGTCTGGCGCTGGCCGGCGCGCTCTTCGAGGCTCCGGACTCCGAATTGGCATTGGGCTTGGCACGGCTGCGGAGGCGCCTACAAGCAGAAGCCGAAAAGCTGCCGAAGCTAAACCGCTACTGGGATCCTCAAAACCTGTCCGACGGCCTCGACACTCTCCGAAGCCTGGTGCCCAGAGCGCTTCACCCGACACCAGAGGAGCAAGCCACCTTGGGGGACATTCCCCACAATTGGATTACTTACTATCAGATAAAGATCATGGGCGCCAACGCGCACAGCAGTCAAAATGCTTCAGTGCGACGAGAGATGGAGTTGCTGCTGTCCGCCCAAGGCTTCGATTCCTTTGCAAGAAATTATTCTTTGGGTGCCATACTGCTGGCCCTGATCCTTCTGGTGTTCGGTTTGCTGGTCTATGTCTCCTTCCGACTTCGAGTCTTTGGATGGTTTGAAGTTCCCATCTCGATGGCCGAAATGCTTCCAGGAGCCTTCAGTCCTGTGCGCCTGGCAGATCCAGACTTCGATCCCTGTCGCCAGAAAAAGCAGCTGCCCTATCGCTACGTGAAGGGCCAGTTGATTGCCCGACCGATCTCGGCGTGGGACAGTCTGGACAGCTTCTTTCAGGCGGTCTTTGGCGCCTATGCTTCCTGGCTCCTGCTTTGCGTGCGCATCCCGCCCGAGAAGGAGTGTGTTAGAGAATTGCATCAGTCTGCAGAGACTTCCTGCCAATGCATTAATTGTGTAGAGGGTGCTACCTTCAGGGGGCGGTTTCCTGTGTAGGCACAGCAACAGTTGATCTTGTCGCCCTGGCTTGAGCTGCTGTGGGCGCAGTACTGTATCACTTGAGCCGCAGGTCGATGAGGTTTTGTGCCGTGCCGAGAGAGGTCTGTCAAGCGAGGTATTTAGGGAAGCCATGCACGCATTGTGGAGGGATTGAAACCCCTGCTCCGCAGGACACCTTTGATGAAGAGTATCTCACTGACGATGACGAGGAATGTCGACTCAAAGTGCGGGATATCTGTGCATTCAGAGCGAAGAATGTGGGGACAATCGAGGTGATCTTCAGGGCTCTGTGCTTATTTGCGTTGGAGGCTTGGCTGCTTTGCTATGCAGGGCGATATGGTGATGCCTTCCTCCTCAATCTACTGTATGTGTGCTATGCACGGATGGCCTCATGTGTTGCTGCATGCAGCATCCCGACACCCATGCCTGAGAAGACAGACTGTGATGCTGAGCTCATGCCGGGGCAAGAGATGGATGCAGCAGGGGCCGTCACTGCCGTTTTCGGTGTGCAGCACGGCCCACGCTGGGCCAGGGCGCAGTGCACCACCCGCAGCACCGCCGCACCCAACAAGACCAAAAAGCAGCGACGCCTGCTCCGGAGGCGCGAGACATCTGAGAGGGAAAAAGCTGAGAGGGACAAGCCAGACAGCGGTGCTGAGCTGGAATCCAAGGAGGCCGAGTCACCCAAGGATAGGTCGGATAGGCACGAGGAAGCAGATGGAGGATCTCCGCACTCAGGGTCGGAGGTAGGCGGGAGTTTCGGCGACAAGTTTCAACAGCAGCTGATAAATGCAGGTATCATGCATGTAAATCATGCAGCATTGCTTGAGCATTCTGTGCTCAGCATGGTCAGCTGCTTCTTGTCTGTGCTGTTCTTGATGCACCTTCGCTGGACCTTCACGAGCAATTTCAGAGGCTTCTACGGTGCCAGTTCACCATTGGAGCTCATACAGGCTTACGGCCTCCCCTACTCCGTGGACAGGCTCATGGCCATAACAGCTGAGGTTTTGCTCATGTGGTTTTGCTTTGAGCGTCTCTACGACATCTCCAGTTTGCTGCACGTCGCAAGCCTCTCCCTGCGGCAGCGGAGCGCGGCCCTGCGCTTCATGCGTGAGCACCAGCCGCCCTGGGCCACCGGCGTACGGGAGGTGCCCCTAGAGCAGGCCATCGTCTACTGCGAGGAGGTCGTCCGCTGCAGTGACTTTGCCTTGGAGCTTTCCGATGCACGATGGCAGATCTTGCATAAGCCCGTGGAGGTTATCGTGTCCATGACGGAAGCTTTGCTGTTCCTGGCCTTTCTGCTCATCGCCCTCCCCTACCTGCCCTTGCTTTCCTCTTTGCCCTTGCCTGCCTCCTTGCGATCCTCTCTTCCCTTGCTGCCCTCCTTGCGATGCTCCCTGCCCTTCCTTGAGCCCATCCTGGACCCTGTCATACCCCTGACCGTTGCGCTCGCGGTCGTCTCGCCCGCCGTCCACGCGCTGCTCCAGGCGCACTTCGCCAACACGGAGGTCGCACGACAGCGGGCGATACTTCGCAGCAAGGCCGAAGCGGCACTCTCCTCAGCAAAGGAGGAGGAGGATGTCCCCTTTGTGCAGCTGCGGAATTCTTCCAGGGAGGCTTTCGCCAAGGCTACTCTGAGATGGAGCTCCGGAAGAGCCCTCGGCCTTCTGGAGCCTATCCTCTTGCTCTACTTCGCCTTGACCGTCGTAGGGCTTGCCGTCGTCACCAAGCTCAACTTCATCATCATCTAGACTCTCTAGACTACACGACGGAGCGAGAACTGCTGTCTCCAGAAAGAGATTTCTGTCGACTGCGACTTTTGCCTTAGAGCTTGCCCAGACACTTTTTGCGGTTTCCTTGAGCACTCGTAGCCTTCAAAGCAACATACTGCGTCGCCGCGTTTTCACAGCACCGATCGGATAACCACGAGTCTAGCGCCGAGCGAGAGCCTGTTACATTGAGCTGCCGAAGGAGTCTTCGAGAAGCCAAGTGCCAGTGTTCTTTTCGTGTCTGCATGTAGACTCCCGTGGACCGTTTGTAGCACTTGGCAGGCAGGAACGAAGCCGCAGCCGTAGCCGCAGCCGGAAGCGCAGAGATCCCAGAGGATCTCTGAGCTTTGCGGATGTGTGTAGTGACTCGTGACTGATGTAGTGGATCTCTGAGGCAGCCCCGGCCGGAAGCGCAAGCGCGCCCGCACGCCGACGCCGCCCGACGCTCGGCATGTCTTGGCGATCCCCGACTCCTCCGTTTTTGAGACAGGTCGCCTTCCAAGAGCTCCTCCTCGTCCAGCCTGGATTCCAAAACTCCAGAGGCAGACGCCGATGCGGAGAGAAGCGAAGAAAGAACGAGAGCAAGGAAGGAAGGAAGAAGCTGCGCCTGCGCTTGCAGGGCCTGCGCTCCAACTCCGATTCGGAAGCGAAGCCAGAGGTGACGCGTGTGTCTGCGGAAGTGCCAGCTAATCGTCGTCTTTTGGAGGTCTTCGGCCCGCAGAAGCCGTGCACGGCCCAGCGCACGAGCGCAAGGGCCCCAAGGGCCGCAACGAGTGCCAGCGAGCTCAGGTCCAAGGCCTTCGGACCAGAGCGCGGTGTCCCGGAGCGTGACCCAGAAGGTCCGTCGCGGTTCATGTCCCAGCACGAACTCGCGAAAGACGCGAGCCAGGTGAGAACGAGAGGCCTGTCGCAAAAAGGATGCCCAGGCCGAGGCCATCCGTTCTTGTGCGCCAAGTGTCTTCTTGAAGGCCCAGCGCTGCCGGCCGAGGCCGTGCTCTGGCCGCTGCCTCGGAGCCTGTAGCGCTCCTCTCTCCCTCTCCCTCTCTCTCT